GTCGGCGGGTAGATTGGTGCAGCAGTAACGACGTCGTTTTGACAGAAAGGATTGGGGTTTCCAGCATTGTGGTTGATAGGTCTTGTTTGGCTGACTTACGGGTGAAGAGATTCGCTGGAATGCATAGAGGGGTCGATCATATGGTTAACGAAAGTTAAGAGAGAAACTAGAAAGTGATTGAGCGAGAGGAAAATTAATTGGTATGGCAGTATCAATGACATTCACGTGAAAATTTAAGATCCATTATGACTCTTAACTTTGACAGGGGTGTTAGTGTAGGTTTTCACAAGAGTGTAGTTAGGCCTTACCTCAACAGATGTCCATGTAATTTACCACATATACATACATATATATGTATAACACAGGATTCAATTGCTCTTGCTCCTGCCACTATCTTCAATTGCTATACATTTGGTCTTCTTGTTCTTTTTCTTCTTCACTATCAGTCATAGATGAGAACTATCTCAGCCTCAAAGAACTCTTTTGGGAAGAAAACGGCAAGAAAGGAGAGCAGCCATTTGCAAAAACCAAGTAGCTACTTCGGTTGAGAGCAAGCATGCCACTCTTTAACAGACGGGATCAAGAATCATTATTATTTTGACACAAGAAAAAGGAATTTTCCACACCCAGCTAATCAATTATTTGAAATATGGACTATGCAGGGAGTGAAGAAGTTGCGAACGACAGATGATGCTGATAACAGTAGAGTCCAAAGATCTCTCGCTTAATCACAATGAAGCAAAAGATGACATACTGCTAGTAAAGAAAATGGTTACAGCGTACACACATACAGATGCACATTTATGTTTAAAAATACACATACGTGTATAAAGTGTATGTGTTTCATATAGAAGGGTTCAGTTTATTTAGATGGGATTTGAACGGGCTTCGAAACTAGTAGAGGCATATAAGGATACATACATACCTACATACATATATGTGTGTGTGTGTGTGTGTTACATGGGATTCAATTTCTCATGCTCTTCTTATAACCTTTAAATGCTATGCATTGGGTCTACGGATTTCAAATGCATTTTGATGAAATGCGTAGTTATACGAGTGTTAAATGAAGCTCAAATGCTTGTGAAAAGATATTTAAATCCAAATGAATGTAAATGCAAGTGTTGATCTCTTAAAGGGTAATTTTGTTATTTCTAAAATGCCCAAATTTGTCATTTAAAATGATGAGTAGGGGTAATTGTGTTATCCTGTTACAAAGGAGGAATTTTTTGGCAATAGAAGAAAACATTTAACGGGCTTAACGGTCCCAAAGGCCCAAATGGCTAGGGGAACCTATATATTTGGCATAACCTCAGGGGAGGTTGACCATAATTTTTAAGAAAGTTTAAAGCAAGGGTGCAAAGGAATGGGCATTCCAACTTCATTTTGGGAATAAGAAGCTGGAATGAGGATTACATTCAAAACCCTTCTAACATACCAAAGGTGGCCTTGAAGTCCTTCAATATGATCTCTGCCAAAGGTCATTATCTTGTCTTCTCTAAGAGAAAATAAAGAAAATGTGTTATCAACTAAATCAAGCCGTATAAACTTGAGTTCATTCCACATCAGACCAAAAAGTGGAGATGCATCGACCAGTTAATCAAGCTTCAAAGGAAATCATGTACCTGGAAGATACCATGCAGCAAACACTAACTAAAAAGCAATCTAAAAAATATAAATAAAATTAGATAATCATTCGCCAATCTTACTTACCAAAGGTCATTACTTTGTTATTCAGGAAAAAAAAAAAAAAAAGGGTGATTAACTTGTCTGTTTTAGAAGAACCAAAGAAAACACATATTTTAGTTAGTTCAACTAAATAAAGCCGTACAAAGTTACAAACTAGATACACAAGTTCATGTCACAACAAACAACCTAGTGTACATGAATATACCAGTTAACCAAACTTTAACGAGACAATATAATTTTATATATCTAACACACTAACACATTTTCCATGGTATAGCACTGAAAAGACAATCACTAACTAATCATCAATCTAAAAAACAGTTAAACCTAAATTCATTAATCCATTTATGAAAAGAAATAAAGAATACAGGACCACTTTGAGCATGAACTTTACTTCAAGACTACCAAAGCACTTGAGAAGCTGTGACTCTGCAATGGTGACAGTTGGTGTGTATTCTAAGGTGTCCACTGCATACCACATAATCATGAGGCTGACGCACACTGGTCGATTTATTCTTCGAAAAGATTCGTATAATGTTCTTTTTTTTAGGAAACAACTGAAGACATTGTTTGTGTCAAAACCAGTATATAATAAGATGGCCTATATTTGAGATATTCTAGTGCTTCAACTAAAATGGATGAACATGGAAGTTGCTAACCGTTCAAATGATCTAATAAGTTTCATAATAACTAAGCAAGGATGTGGGACATTGTGTAGTCACAAACAAATTCTTCATAAGAATTACATTCACCAAACAACAAACTGCATTTGGCACGACATAGGCTACAAGACATGTTTGATTTAGTACCATGAACAACAATTGTGAAGTCTAGTAAAACCACAAGTTTACAGCGAACATCAAACACATCATAAAGAACTGTGATTGACTGATAAAGCTGGCAATGAACATAGCAAGAGAATTCTAGTTTACAGTAAACAGCTAACGAGTTTCTTCAAAACAATGATGTCATGCTAAACTACAAGGGGTCGTACACGATTAGGGATGGCAATTTGACCCGCCCCGCGGTTACCCACCCCACCCCGCACCGTTTTTGACAGTTTTGGGGGACCGTTTTACTTATTTGGGCGGAGATGGTTTGATGTAATAAAACCCGCACGGGTTTGGTGCGGGGGCAGGGGGAGGTCGCCCCGCCGCGCACCGCCCCGCCCCGTTTAGATAGGCAAATTACTTAAGTATCTATATTTCATTAGTATATATATTTCCCACTATATATTTAGTACCCTATATAACAATATTGAAGTAAAAAATGAATTTGATTAAAAAGAAATTTGCAATGGTGAATAATTGAAGATGAGGGAGAAAAAAAGAAAGAGCAAATTTATTTCAACAATAAATAAATTATGGTCTTAAACGGGGCGGGGCGGGTACCTGCGGGGGTAAAAATATTAAACGGTTACGGGGATGGGGTGGAAAGTACCCCCATTGTTGTGGTTTTGGGCCGGGACGGGGGCGGGATTTTTAAACGGTTGTGGGGGCGGGGGAGGGTACACCCGCCCAAACCCGCCCCCGTTGCCATCCCTACACACGATAAAACTTGCATCAGTGTAAGTCCAAAAGGATTGGACCTGCAAAATCATCAAGAATTATGACGATAATGCTTATCCTGTTGACTTTCATGAGGTTAGAGATATCAATCTTACCTTTTTGCTAACCCAGTTACCTTTCATTGTTTCAATTATAAAGATAGGTCAAAGAAACACATACTTAGGTGGACTAATTGTAGAAGAAATCAGAAACCACAAGATTCACTGGTGAATGTACCATACATTAGGTAAATCAACAGGTAAAAAAGCTTTGATCAAGGCCAACTGTTCACCGGCATATTAGAGCAGCGCTAGGATCTAATGCATGCTATCAAACATAATATATTTACCACTCAAAAAATGAGTAAATTTGAATAAATATGAAGTCAAATAGGTTTTTACCATCATCAGTAAAAGCATTAGCATTAGCTACGTGATAGAGCTGTTCCTTGCTCTAGTTCATTTCATGCTTTAGAAAATCAAAAGATTCAGTAAATTTGAATAAATATGAACTAAAACAGGTTTTTACACCCTGCATCGGTAAAGCTACTAGCTGCATGATAGAGCTGTTAGTTGCTCAAGTTCACTTCATGCTTTAGAAATCCAGTCCAGAAAGTTGCTTACTTGGGATAAATAGAAAAAATCAAATATTTTGTTATGTTGAATACTTGAGTTGATGTGAATTTAGTGATCAAACAATGCATGCCAAGTCTACCAAAAGGAATACTAATACATTATAAAATAAATCAGCATATCTGCCTGTGAAAGAGAAGTTGACGCACTTTGAATCATGGATTCATAATAGTGAACAGAACAGAATCGAACCTTCTAGCGTCAATGAAAAGGGGGATGAAATTATTTAATCAAAAAATAATAGGACACTATCATTTGCATATAACATAAAACAGAAGAACAATGTGAATCTTCCGATTCTTAAAATGGAGGCAGGCTAGGCACCGATATCTTAAATATCCAAATGACAATGGAAACATAAAAATTTGACAAAAAGGAAAATAAAAAAAACATAAAACAGGAAATAATGGGGGTCATTGTTTGGTGCAATGGTAAAAAATTCAGACTAACAAATGTGAGGAGATGTGTTCAAGTCTAATAGCAGCCACTTTGTCCAAAATCATGCCAAAAGTTAGGTTTCTGTCCCCTCCCAAGACTCAGCATAGGCAAACCAGCATTCAATAATGGCCTTTACATCAGAAGTAATACAAGTTAATCTAAAAAATGTAAAACAGCTAACGTTCAACCATAGTAATCAAGCAATTGTTTTCAAATAGGGCTCCATTCACACTAACTCCAGCAAGACTTCACTAAAGAAATTAACTAAACCATTGTCCCGTGCTGACTATAAGCAACACCGCAGACCGAATTTCACTGACTAAAATTGTATTTTAGTGCAAAACCCATGATAAAGTTTAAGGGGAAAGTAAAAGAACTATATCAGAACTAAAAAGGGGGGAAATAAAGCACTCAGAAGAACCAGAATGTAATTGATGCGTCAGGAGTCAAAAGCCACAATGATTTTTAAAACAAAATTAAAAAAATAATAATAATAATCTAGAAGTGACAACATTACCATTCACTAACAGAAGAAACTTAAACCAAAAATTAAGCAGCAAAAACTGAACATAATACGCACAGTCCCCCATTAAAACCCATATGCAAACATAAACTGGAAACAAAAATAAATAAATAATGGAAGAAAAAGTATAAGTTTCATTTTCTTTCACTGCAATTTCTCGAGAGAACTTACCCCAGGTTTACCAGGGATGGTGCAATGCCAAACCATCAAATTGACGGACCCATCTGGACCAGTTTCCGGCTTAGCCACGAAACCCTAACAAAAAAAAAAAAAACAAACAAACAAACAAACAAAACAGAGACAACCATCATTACAGTAAAGAAGAATTACACCATTTCAATGGACATATATATGTATATATATTATAGAGACAAATAAATAAATATATATATATATATACACACACACAGAAGGAATTGTGGTACTGACATGTGGATGATTCTTACGCCATGCTTTCCGCTCCTCGGCAAGACGACCACGCGCGATACCTCCCGACATGTCTGTCCTCTTCCTCTCTCTCTCTCTCTAAGCTCGCTCTTTGACTTCTGATTTTCCAAAAAGCCACTTCCCAATCTTAATACTCGCAAGTTGCAAGTTGTTGGACGAAATTACTAAGATTTGAAAGAAGGATCATCTACGATTTTTATCAAAATTTTATACCAAAATTTATTTATGGTAAATTATATTTAATTATATTTAACTAAATTAATTTTTTTCCCGGCTATCATCACTTCAAAATTGAATGATACAATTTTTTTCGCAACGTTATTTTAATTTTTAAATTGGGTAACTATTAATTTTTTGTAAGAACAAATTTGTTTAATTTTTATATTAACTTAAATTTATAAATAAAACAATAAAGAATATGAAGTAGCGTTACTTTAATTTTTAAATTCAGTAACTATTTATTTTTTTTTAAGAACAAATTTGTTTAATTTTTATATTAACTTAAATTTATAAATAAAACAATAAAGAATGTAAATTTTTTTAATTCTTTTCCAAATTTTACTATGAAGAACAATTTTGAATCCCACAAATTTGATTCAGGTTTAGCGTGTATAGTTTCAGTGTGTGATGTAAATATTTCAGCTTTTTCATTTTGTAACAATTTGTTTATAGAATTTTTTGGAATAATATTTTTAAAGTGTAAATTATTTTTTAACATATTTAATTTTTTTCGCATAAAAAATCTCAATAAAGCACATAATTATTCATACCTCAACAATATAAGAGATGATAAAAGAACAAAATATTTTCTATCTATGCCTTTTCCATTTCTCAACAACCATGTCTTTGACATGTAATTATATATGCATCTAATAATAATATAATAATAAAAGCATACTTGCATATGTAATTATTGTGAAATATTTTTATTCCTTTGATGGAAATATTGTATTTTTAAAGTGAGTAATAAGAATTTGAGTCTTCAAAAGAGTAAAGTGAGTATGTGACTTTCTTATCAAAAAAAAAAAAAAAAAAAAACTATAATTTTTAATTACTTACTTATAAATTTTTAAAATTTAATATTATTTCATAGATGAATTAATATAGTTTAAAATATATTTTAATTATTGGTAAATTTATTTCCAAGGTTCCTTTTCATGGACAACCCAGAGGACACTTACGCTTGTCAAAAGATCCCACATAAATTTTTAATAATTTTATATTATTATAAATTTATACCTTTTAAAATAAATTATGATTATTAATAATTTTACAATTAAACAATTCCTTTCCTACTTGGCCACCAATAAAAGGTAAACCTTAGGGGTGAGCAAATAATTTGCGAATTCGATCCAATCAGATCGGATTACTAAACTTACGATTCTGCGGTGAATTCAAAAAAATCGAATTCGTAACTCATGAATCGAATCACGAATTGAGTTATTAAAAATCCGATCTGTGAAATTTATATATATATATTCAAAGAATGTATTAGTTAATTTAATTAGTTGATAATCAATTAATGGATTCTAAAAATACATTAGTTAATGATCATTTAAATATATAAATTAAGAGTGATAAATTGAAATTTTATCTATTAGGTTATGGTTAAAAAATAAATAATATAGAATTATTTAGGCAAAACCATAATCCGTTAATCCGATCCGTGGGTTAACGGTAGGGGTGGCAATTCGTATTGGTGTGTAGTGTTCGTGTCGATACGATTAAGACACGAACACGATTAGGGTCCATACGAACACGACACGATTATTAATCATGTCTAAGACCCTTGACATGAACACGACTCGATTATTACACGTGTAACACGACACAACACGCATAACCTATTTAATAAATGGGTCAAAACTTAACACGACACGAAAATACATGTTTAAGTCATTTTTGACACGAATACGACATATTTATTTTACACGTTTAGTTAAATGAGTCATTTTTTATACGAACACGATACTTTTAGTTAGCGGGTCAATCCATGTCAACATGATTACGACACGAACACGATTAACCAAAATCTAAACTCTCTTATCTTGTGTTATGTTAGCGTGTCGTGTCAAATATTGTCACCCCTAGATAATGGATTCAAAATTTTCCAATCCATTAGGAACGAATTGAATTAGGATTGGTACCAAATCCGATCCGTGGTCACCCCTATAAACTCTCACCAGATTGAGGTTTCATTAGTTTTCAGAAAAAAAAAAAAAAATGGTGAATCCAAAAAAATTTATCTCGAATAAATTATTTCTTCTGATAAGGCCAAAAAAAAAAAAGTTTAATAAAGGATAAAGTACAAAAAAAAACCCTTGAACTGTTATCATTTTGCAAAATAACGCTCCGAACTAAAAATTACTTCACTGGGTTATTGATTTGTTGCAATTTAAGACAAACCCATCACAAAATACTATTTTACCTTTTCTCATTAAATTTGTCATCTTATTAAGTTATTTTTATCATCTTATCTAAATATTAATTATATTATTTACCTTAATTTTATTATTAGTATTAATTTATTATAATAATGAAAAAAAAATAGATTTGTAACTACCATTTTCTAAAATAATTAACTTATTATTAAAAATTTGTTATTTAGTATACTCAATTTAGTATTTTTTACCTTAGAAAAATACCTTCTTTTTTCATGTACTATACTTATGAAAAATTAATAGGAAAAGTTCGGTACTAGACAATTGTTCAGTCGAGGGACGCCCTCGTACCATTCCTCCTGTAATAGATCTGAGGATGCCCATTTGATTAGTGAAGAGTCCACACCCGATCAAAGATCCCCGGCTCATCGATTGTCAATGCGCAATGTGCCCCATTCCCATTTTAGCCTTATGACTGATTCAATCCAGCCACGGGTTCCCCTACGGCTACCTTGTTGCGACCCATGAAAGATAGGAATTTAGTACAAGGTGGCCTGTTGTCATGCCAAACCCGAACCTTGTCTCCACTCACAATCCGCCACCTCATGCCAAGCCTCACTATATCCTTAGCTGCCATGATACTCCGCTAAACCCAATACCTTCTTTTTCATGTAATATATTCATAAAAAATTAAGTAATGAATTAAATTATTTTAAAATTTTATACTTAAGATTTTTATTTAAACAATTAATTTTAAAAATTAAAGGCAAATTTATGCAAATTTAATAGAGAATATTTCTTCAAATTAGTATTATTTTTTTATAATTTATTTCAATAAGAAAAATATATTGACTGTTAATTCAATAAGAAATGACATTATAGTCATTTAATAAAATATAGTATAGGCATTAGGGCATTTTGCAACAAAATGTGATATTTTAAGGGGTATTATGCACAAATACTTCAAGGAAGTTATCTACAAATCCGATTTTTTTTTTTTTTTTTTTTTTTCACTTTACACTTGAATAAATTATCTCTTTTGATAGGACCATAAAAAATTATCAAAAAAAGGTTACCTCTTTTGATGGGACTGAAAACAAAAATACATTTGAAAAAAAATTAACTTAATTTGTTGCTTAAATTATCTGTTTTAATAGGACTAAGAAAAAAAGGTATAGCATAGTATAAAGTAATTAAAGAAGGTTTAGTATAAAGGGTAGTTATGGTATTATAAAATAAGAGAGGATACATATTAATAATTTGTTTATTGAACTTATTGTCATTTTTTTTAAAAGAAAAAAGTAAGTGAAGGAGAAAAGTGAAATGCGAATATCGCCTCCCTAAAATAATTGTAAAGTGGACTGCAAGAGTACAATGCACAACAAATTTCAACTCATTGATTACATTAAATTATTCAATTTTTTTTCTTTTTCCAATAATAAAAAGTGGCTCAAATTATTTTAGTCACACAGTCACCGAATTAAAAAATAATAATATAACATGAAAAAACAATACAGAGAACTTACCCAAATAAATAAATAAATGAGAGAAAAAAAAAAGAAATTAAGAAGAAAAAAAACAATACAAATAATTAGATTTTAATTCAAGAGAGTCCGATCATGTAGAGTTATTATGTCAACAATGGTCCAAATGAATAGCTATCCTGAGTGTGTTGACTTTCTTCTGTCTCTCCTGTAATAGGAGTTTCCTTTGAACTAAGGGTATCTATGCGTGTCAGAGTTGCGATTTGTTTTGGGGCCTTTTCCGATTCCCTTATTTTGATCTTGCTTTGTGGTCTTCCTTCCCTTAATTGTGTGTTGTTTAGTCCCAAATTATTTCTTTCCCTCCTCCTGGAACCACTTGTTATTTCTTGTAGTGGTCTGCTAGATCCATTTCCTTTTGCTCAGTCTTGGCTGTTTTACGGTGCGGCGAACTCGGTGGACTCCTTTTCTGATTTTCATAGAGGCCCCTTCCATATCGTTATTGCAAAATCTTGAAGTTACAGTGTCGACTATACAGGAAATCAGTCCTGTTGAGGCATCATATCGGCCCAATTTTGTAGCTAATCGAAATCAAGATCTAACTATTGGGGGAATTCTTGATCGCTCTCTAGTGTAAGCAAGGATGGATTTCCTGCTTTCATTGTCGCCGGTGCTATCGTGAACAGATTCTCAGTCATCATCGGCTATATTAGTTATGCACAACTTTCCACAAAGTGCCGAAGCGTCTGGAACAAGCCAAACTAGGTCTGCCAACCAATTGGATTGAGTCCATAATCCTTTTTGGGCAGCTACTAAGAGCCCAAAAACGGTATCTATGGGTATAGGTAATAATGGGCCAAATACTCATGTGCCCAATGTAAGGATACTGCAATAGACTATTTTTGATGGGTCGTCTTCTTCTTTTGCTGTGAATAGGAGTTGTGGTTCACGATCTACTGTGGAGTCTGAAACTGGAGGTCGATCCCAGGTCGGCAAAATGTGACTGATAATATGGAATTGTTAAGGCCTGGGGAATCCATTGACGGTCTAACAACTTATAAAAATACACCAGCTGCACTCCCCTGAAATCCTTGCGCTTCTAGAAACAAAGAATAGAAGGGATTGTATTGCTCCTATCCATGCAAAACTTAGGTATCACCATGCCTGCGTATATGATCATGTGGGTCGTTCCAGTGGCATCGCGCTATGGTGGAAAGAGTTGATTCATTTGTAGGTATTGGAATATAATGAATTTCATATTACGGCTATAATCTATCCTTCCCACAAACCATCATGGACA